ATTATTCCCATTTTATAGATGAGGCAACTGAAGCTCAGAGAAGGAAAGTGATTTCCCTAGAAAGTGGCTGGACAGGAATATAAATAGGGCTACTTGATCCCCGAGCCTAGAGTAGTAAGTAGGTGAAATTTGTAGCCCTAAAGGTAGGCATAATTTGGGGGCCTTCTCCAAGAACTCAGTGTGCATGCCAGCAACCTCTGCCCCAGAGTGAAGGTGGTGGCAAATGCCTGGGTCATGATCCTACAGTGTGACCCCTATGCTGGCTCAGGTGGGGGTTGGGGCAGTAAATGGCAGGTGGTTCCATACACCCAGCCCTTTGTCCACACAGCTACTCCCACCTAATGTGCTCCCTTTCCCTCTACCTCCTACTCACTTGGTCCTCTTCTTTCAAGTTTGAATCAAGCCTCTCCTTCCCCTCAAGCCCCTCATGATGCCTGCTAGACTACTCTAGCCTCCTGACACTTCTGAGCACTGAGTCTATACTTGCCCCTAACAGCATCCAGCCCCAGGAGGCACCCTTGAATGTTTGCAGAGTGAATGAGCATGTACACGTGCCCAGGAAATCCCCATCCTCTGGGTTTCCAGGAAAAGACAAGGCTTCCCACACCCCAGCCCCTTCATTGGTGGGGTCAAGGCCTCGCTGAGTCCAGTAAGGCTAGATGTTGAAGCAGCCACCTTTGGCTTCAGGATCCCGTGGGCCTCCTGAGGGAGGAAACAGGAACGGCTTCCAGGCCTGCTCCACACCCTCGACATTGCCTGGCTGGGTGTGGGAGAGCAGAGGGCACAGGGCAGGGTGGGCAGGGCTGGGAAGGGCTGAGAAGCCAGGCTACCAGGCCACCTTTGGGAGGAGGAGGCTTCCTGCCTGCCTCCTACCCAAGAGGCAAGCCAGCCAGCCAGGGAGGAACCACCTGTGCCCTCCCCTGGCCTGCTCCAATAGCCTAAGAAAGGAGTCAGTGCTGGGCCCATTGTCAAGAAGCCTGCATTCCAGACTTCATGTGACACTTGCTAAGAACCTCCTCTGGGCCAGGCTGGTGCTGGGTCGGGTACAAAGATGGCTAAGATCCATTTCTTCCTCTAGGGAAGCTCACACCAGACATTAAAGGAAAAATTAAAACAGCTAATACTCATTGAGCACTCTGCCACATGCTAGACCCTGATCTAAGTCCTTCACATATATCTCTAATGAATATATGTTGTTGAACATCCACAACGCTATTCTTAGCTCCACTTGGCCGTTGGGGATAATGAGACACAGAGGGATCAAGAAGCTTGCCCTAGATCACACAGTAAGTGAATTACATGCTGGGATCCGCACTCAGGCTTGTGGCATCATTTAATCCTCAAACTCTGCACTCTCTGTATAGACTCCAGCGCCAGCTGCCCCAGCCGACTTGTGCAGCAGCTTAATCCCTGCCCTGTCTCCTTGCCAGCAGGTTGTTAGGCTCTGTAAACTTGCCAGGCACCAAAGTGTGCTTTAGGATATCGCCATGTTCATTGCCCTCTGCTGCTTGCTACGGTTACCTCTTTCCCTGTGGGCTTATTCCCTGTGGAAGCTTCAAGCTCCTGTGACTCACCCATCTCACAGTCCCTTGGAGAATCTTGCACAAAGCAGGTGCTCAGATGTGTTTGCAGTTTGGTGGGCTGATGGAGGATGCTTTCATTTCCCCGGGTCTCTGTGACATGAACAAAGTGGTTCTCAACCTGTACACTGGAATCACTTGGGGACTTTTAACCACTACTGATGCCCAGATTCTACTTCTAGAGGTTCCAATGTAATTGGTGAGGGGTATAGTCTGAGCATGAGGATTATTAAATACTCTCAGGCAATTCTGATGGGCAGCCATGGATGAGAACCCCTGTACTGACACGGTTTTAGGATACTTTCAAGTTTCCATGGAGAGCAGTGTGTGGAAGGGGCAGAGGAGCAGAAAGATCCTGGATTTTGGAGATGGACAGGCCAGATTCACAGCACACTCAGCCTCTTACAAGTTGGGTGAGCTTGGTGGGCAAGTCAACTTCCCCAAACCTCAGTTACTACATCTGTAAAAAGGGATAATTGCATCTACCTTGAAGTAAAGTTCTTGGCACTGAGATGGCACATGTTGGAAGAAATGAACCGTACATCTCTCCATCCAACATATGATCACTAAGTGCCAGGTACTTCGGTATCCCTGGGGGACAACAGAAACAAGACAGTTGTGGTCTTGAGACATTTACATTCTAGCAATCCAATTTAACAAACTTTATTGGGTTGGAGATATCAGACATTGCCTCAGTACAGAGATGAGCAAGCCATTGTCCTTGCCCTAAAGGCAAAGAGAAGTGGGCACTAATGATAACTAAAACAGGGGAAGGGGAATGCCAATTAGGTGCAAACCAAGAGCGGTGGGGTTCAGGGGAGAAAGCCAGCTGGAGGTAGATCAGGAAGGTTTCCGTGGAAGATATGATACCTGAGAGGGCCCTTGAAGGAGGGGTATGATTTTGTAGGATGGGATGGGGGTGGGTGAGTGGAGTGGCTTAAACAAAAACATGGATGTAGGAACAGCCAATAATCCAACCTGGCAAAGAGCTGGATGTGCATCCACAGGACGGAAGAGGATGTATGTGTAGGCCTGGAAAATGTAGGCTGGAGCTTTAACTGCCAGAGTGAGGCATTTGTACTATTTTCTCAGCTGTTGGAACCATGCAGGAGCTGGAGTGGAATTGCTTGATTCTTACCTGGCCCTTCCTCTGGTTTCATTATGGAATATGTGCACTGTCGCTCCCACCCTTGGGACCTTTCCTTCTCTGCCCACTGCCACTCTGGTCCTATGTTCAGTGCTCAATGTCCTGTCGCTGCTGTCAGATGAGGGTCTGATAAGCTCACTCAATCTTAAGCAAAAAATGCATTTCCAGATGGTATCTCCTTAGGCACTTGCATTTGACAATTACAGTGGAAAGCACACCAAACAGAATCTGGCAGAGGCCTGGTTCTAATCCTGGCTCTGCCTCTTACCAGCTGTGTGACCTTGGGCAAGTCACTTTTTCTTTTCTGAGCCTCAGTTTCCTCATCTGAAAAATGACAGGCTGGTTGGGGTGATTGATAATGACCCTTCCAGCTGCAATGTTCTTTGACTAATTTGCCAAGTATCAAATCTAAGAATTACTTCATGCAAGGGGAATGCTGTTGTTGCACATTAGGTGTTAAGCATGAGGCTCGGAGGGGAAGTGATGGAGAGGCTACATGTAGGTGTTCTGGCAGTGTTGGCCAAGTCCAGCTTGGATGCATCATAGCCCAGGCTATGATGTGAATGAAGAAGCCTCCAGAATATTCCATCTCCCAGCCATTCAAGTCATTCCCAACTACTCAAGTCTTCCCAGTTGAAGCCCCAGACACTGTGGAGCAGAGATAAGCCAAATTGTGCAATGTCTGAATTCCTGACCCTCAGAATTTGTGAGCCTGACAAGATTGCTGTTTCAAGCCACCAAGGCTGAGGTGGTTTTTACATAGCAGTAGATGACTGGAAATGGGCGGTGTGTGTGTGTGAGTGTGTGTGTGTGTTTTGAGGGTACTGTGAGGATGAAGGGTCGCCCTATGCTGATGAAAGCTCAGTGGGTATCCTTCTCTGTCACTGACATTGGAAGCCACCTCTGGTCTTGGGTATTACTCCAGGTAGCATGGTGTTCTTGGGACAGGAGACTCAGGGCCTGCACTGTCCTGGGATGTGAAAGTTTATAAACAAGGAAGTTCTGCGGTCTTTTTCTGGGCTGTCTCAGGCACTGGTCAGCTGGGGGGCGGGGTTGCCCACACTGGTGGAGGTCCTGTAGATGCAACTTGCACATGCTTTTGTTTCAGCCCCATGTGAGCTCCATTAGACACTCTAAGAAGGGTTGTTTGCCCCACTTAACTGATGAAGGAAAAGCTCGGGTGCCATGCCTAAGACAATACATGGGGAAAGACAGAGCGGGGCTTTGAACCAAAGGGCAGAGCTCTGAATCTAACACCTTCTCCTCTAGGACTGTCTTGAGGAGCCCTGTGGATGACTTAGGGATGGAAACTCTGGGAAGGGGCCTCCATTTCCTTTGGCTAAACAGTCTCTTGTCTTGAAGTAAGTTCTGTCTTGGCTGTGATTCTGTTTCCGCTTCCTTCTTCCCATCACCCTCTCCACTCTCACTCTTCTTTTCCCCTCCTGGGATTCTTGGCAGAAGGACGAGAGGAGGAATCCACTGCCAAGTCCTTTATTAAGGAAGGCTTGATGGTGATGCGGGGCTTCACTTACCAACCTTGCAGAGGCTGGGGGTACGGAGGGCGAAGGAGGTTAGGCTGCTTCCAAGCTGGGGCTTGGTGGTGAGGAGGGGAGTGTCCCTCACCATCTCAGCCCCCACCCAGCTATGAAACGTGGGTGGTGAGGTTCCCAGAAGAATATGTCAGGGAGCCTTCTGGCTGGGAGGGAGGAAACGGCCTATTCCCTAGTGGGACTTCCTCTTTCACAGTGTGCGTGTCGGGGGCGGGGGGTGTGGAGGTTAGGGGTGGAGGGACAAGGAAATAACATTGTCTGAGCGATTGTGCCAGGCTACGTCACATTATCAGCAGCTCATTTAAATCGTTTTCCAGATAAAGCTTGGAGAGGTTCGTTGACCTGCCCAAGGCCACACAGCTTGTGAACCTCAGAGCCGGTAAGGACGCCTGGACGGTCTTGCCCCTGGCTCTCTCCCTTGACTCCTGGAAGCGTCGCCGGACCTGGTGGAAGGCTGTCGGCCCTCACCTCGGGGCTGTCCGGAGGGGGCTCCCAGCAGGGGGCGCCCCGAGCCCCGTCCCGGGGAGGCCGGGAGCGCCTCCAGCCGGCGCCTGGGACCGGGCAGGCCGCTCCGCCCCCTCGGCTCCTCAGCGGCTCCGCGGGCGGGCGGCCGGAGAGCAGAGACGAGCGCCGCGCACCCGGTCGCGCCTGCCGTGCTCGCCGTGCCCGCCCAGCGCAGCCTCCCGCCGTGAGTAGCGCCCGTGTGCGGGCTCGACGGGCGGGACGGGGCGCGCGGGGCTGAGGCTGGCGGGGACAGATTGGTCCCGGGATCTGTCTCGGGTTCCCCAAGCCCGCCGCCCCGGTCCCTGACGCCACCCCCCCGGGTATGGCCGGCCTTGCCCTTGGCGCTGTGGCCGGCCCTGGACCTGCCCGCAGCGCCCCAGAGGGCCTCGCTCCGAAGCCTGGCACTTTGACCCGAGGGACCGGGTGGGGGCAGCGGGCCGAGGCCTGGCACCCAGGCGAGAGATAGAGACAGACTTTCATCAACGTAGGGCGCCTTAATGGAGAGAGCACTACGGATTCCCGGGAGGAGAGGGGCCAGTCTTCTCAGCAACGGCCACCTCGCACACCTCCTCTCCCCATTTGCACAAGGACTCGTTTCAAGAAGGCTGCTCCGTACATAGTCAGCTTGCTTGTGGCAGAATGAAGCTGTGGTCCCCATCGTCAGGGGCCCAGACCGAGGCCAGAGCTACGGTGGGCATGGGGGTAGTCAGTGGGTCTGGGGTAGAAGGGCAAAGGAAGGAAGGCATTGTCAGTTGTTGACCCTGATTCTGGACCAGGCAATGTGGATGCCTCATGGCATGTGTGGGTCTGGCTAGCCCTCACTGTGACTTTGCCATGTGGAAATAAGTATTCTCACTTTGGGAAGGAGGAAAGAGGTGAACACTGAGGACATGAAGGTAGTGGTACGTTAGGGGTACACCCTGGAAGAGAGGAAGTCATAGCTGGTTGCCTCAGAAGCAGGTGGAAAGAAGGTCTCTGGGGGCATGTGGAGAGAACACAGCCCCTGACACCTTGTTCTCTAGAATCCAGCCGAGGGCAGCTGGGGGCTGCTGCTATGGTTTCTGACTCTGATTCCCAGCTGCGTCCATGTAAGGTATTTCTGGGAGAGTCCTGGTGATTAAGGGGAGCCGGTGCCTTGGCCTCTTCACAAATACTTTCAGAGCCCTGTTCTTCCCCAAACCGCCCATCTTCTAAGATGTGTTTTTAACACCTAAAGTGGTCCCACTGATAATTCAGCTGCTTTGGGAGAGGCTTGGGCAGAGGGTGCAGGGGTGTGGATGAGGGTGGGTGGGTGCTGGTCTGGAGCAAGTTTCCAGCTGGCAGGAATGAGACCTGAACTGTCCTGACCACCTCCCTCAGATTTGCCTCCTTATTAGACATGAGAGTGAACAAGCAGGCTGCACATGGACTGGACCTTCACTAGAAAAATGAGGTTTTCTCTTGTCAATTTCGGCAAATGGCTGATGTCTGAGCCCAAGTTTCTTTATCAGGGGTTGGAGTTCGTCAAAGCCTTGAATGCCTGGAGGGGGTCTGTGATGCTGGAGTCCCTTTCCTTTTTTTTTTTTTTTTTCAGATTTTTCTTTTAATGTTTTATTTATTTTTGAGACAGAGAGAGACAGAGCATGAGCAGGGGAGGGGCAGAGAGAGAATGAGACACAGAATAGGAAGCAGGCTCCAGGCTCTGAGTTGTCAGCACAGAGCCCGATGCAGGGCTCGAACTCACGAACTGTGAGATCATGACCTGAGCCGAGACCTCAACCGACTGAGCCACCCAGGCGCCCCTAGGGTCCCTTTCCTTCTGTGGATGGCCTCCTCAGAGCCTGGGTGATGGGGAGGGGTATAAGAGGACCATCATGCCTGCTCCCTTGCAGTGGTCCCATGTCACTGACTTATATTGGGTGAGGTGGTGTGATGGTCTCTGAATGTTCAGCAGCATGAGCAGGGTTGAGGGTGCTGTCATCGACGCCCAGGGCAGAACAGCTGGAGCGGACTAGCTGTGTGACTCAATAAGTCCCTTCCCCTGTCTGGTCCTTAGTTTCCTTCTTTTGTAAAACAAGTGGGTTAGGCCAGACACCAGTGGTTTTCAACCACCCCGCACCCCCCCCCCCCGACCGCCATGAATTCTTACACAGAGCCCTAACTTACGTTATAAAGTAGAGCTGCTGTGCCTCCCCTTCCTCATGCCGGTGGCTCCTGAAGCAGAGTTTAAAAATCCCCTAAATGATCTTTGAGGTCCCTTTTTGTGAGGTTCTAGGAAACCTGTGTTAACCCTCAGAAGTGTTGCTTATTATTAGAGTTGGGGGCAGGAGTATGAATTCTAGCGATTCCATTAAGAGAAATGTGGGCATTAAGATGGGCTTCATCCTTGGAATGTCTAGAGCTGATGGCCTGTGCCTCTGACCAAAAGCTGTAGCTGTGTCCCTCCCCTCTGACGTGTGCTTTCATCTTTTCAGGGCCCGAAAGGTTCCTGTGCCCTGGGGCCTTTTCTGGGTCCTAACTGGTGATTATAATTCCACCTCAGAGTTTCTCCCCTTTAGTTCATGTTCCTACATTGAGAAAATTGATAAAACACAAATTCATCTTGGGGAGAGATATCAGGAAGAGGCTTTAAGTTGTTATTGGTTATTTTAACTTGAAGCATCTGAGCAGTGGCTTTGAGAATGGAGGCTGGGCCACTACATTTAAATCAACCAACATTTATGGAGCACCTGCTGTCTACCAGCTGCTACAAGGGGACAGAGGTGAGAATGTCACCACCACTGCCCTCATGGGGCTCCAAGACAGTAGGCAGGAGGGAAGGAATTCACATTTGTTGGAACCATCTAGACACTACTTAAAACATTTTACGTATGATATCTCATTTTGTCCGAAAGTAGATATTAGTCTCATATTTTATTATGTAAAATCTTGATTGTATATAAAGTAAGTGTACATACCACATAGCCATGTAACCACTGCCCAGATCAAGAAACAGCATTGCCTGTACCCTGAAACCCCCTTGAGTCCTAGACATCACCTCCCACCCAGGGGTAACCACTATTCTGACTTTTAGCACCACAGGTGAGTTTTGCCTAAGTGGAATCACACAGTATGTAATCTTTTCTGTCTGGCTTCTTTCATTCAACATTATTAGGCTTGTGAGTTTCATCTATGTTGTTGCAGGTAGCCGTAGTTCATTTATTCTCATTGTTGTGTAATAATTCTATTGCATGGGTATAACTCTATTTACGTATCTATTCTTCTATTGATGGCCATTTGGTTGTTTCCAATTTTTAGTTATTACTAATAATGCTGCCGTGAACATTCTGACATGGGCCATTTTGGAAGGCATCTACATGCATTTCCCTTACGGATGTCCATAGAAACTGCCCAACAGATTTCCAAAGTGGTTGTCCCAGAGTGTGCTTCTCCTGGCAGTGTTTCAGAGTTCTGATTTCTCCACATAGTCACCAACAGTAGGCATTGTCCAGATTCATTTTCCATGTAAGTAATTTGAAGCTTAGAAAAGTTGTCCTGTGCTCAATGTGTGCAGAGGTTGTAGAGCTGGGGTTTAAACCCAGGTGTGACTATGGAATCTGTGAATTCTCCTTCTGGGTTAGACATAGACAGTTATGAGCCAAAATACGAAAGCTCTAACCCTAAAAATGTATGATGAGACCTCTCTGGGAACTGAAAGGGAGAAGGGGGTTTTAATTTGTTTTGATGAGTAAAAGGGTCATGGAGCCTCAGAGTTGGTAGCATTTGAGCTAGGTCTTGTGGGAAGAGAGCTGTTTTCCTAGGGAGGCTCTCCAGGTGGGCCTTCCATGGAAAGGGGCCAGGTTGAGCTGAGGCATGGCAAGGGTGGAAGTTTTGGGGGAAAGGGAAAGGTCTACTTTAGCTATACTATAGGTATGTGGGGGGAGGGAGATAAGGCCAAAACGTTAGTTGGAGCCAAACTGGTGGTCCTAGTTTGTCCTTAGGGGGCTCCCTTGCCCCCGAGCCCCTGGCTACCCCTGGAGCCCAAGGCAGGGGCTCATGATTTTGTTGGGCAGCTGGGGTTGCTTCGAACCCCTCTCAGCTCCTGATAGCAAATGGAGCTGGCCTATCGCCAAATGGAGGATCGTAGCTGTTCCAGGGGCTGCTCTCAGTGTATCTATCAACAGAACTTCTTGGAGTTTTCTGCTTTTCTTTAGTTGTGTGAACTCAGTAACCCCACCCCTCAGGACTGTGTGAAGTAGGTGATATGGATGTTATCAGCCCCTTTTACAGATGAGGGGACTGAGGCCCAAAGATGGTGCCAGCCTGTGTGGGTTACACAGCTAATACACACCCAGGCTAGTCTACAACTGGGGCTCCTGGGAGCCTGCCCTTTTTTGTATTCCATGCTTGCTGGGCTCAGGCCAAGCACAAGGTGAAGACCGAAGAGGGAGGAGGATGCCTGATGGACCACGTGCACTGACAGGGCAGGAGGTCGGCAGGTGACCAGGAGAGTCAGGCTGGGGAGCCAGGCCAGCTCTGCCTGGGGGTCTTCAGGGATGTGTGCTCCATGGAAGGGAGGGAGGCAGGCTGCATCTCAGTAATAGAGCTGTGGTTTGCAGGGGGCAGCACTGGAGGAAAGAGGGTGAAATGTATACATTTTCTGAGAGTTGGAACAGCTCCAGCCACTTGGCACTGATGAGACTCACCCTTATGTAATGGTGCCTCCACCCAGCTTGGTGAAAACAGTCTTTTGGGGCTCATGGGGCCCTGGGCGTGGTTGATATCTGATTGGCAGGCAGAAGAAAAGCTGCCAACTCTAGCCAAAATGAGCTCTGAGAGGCCTTTGCTAATGACTCTCGAAAGACACATCCACAGGCAGCTGGTTTTATCTTTATCATTTGCAGGCTGTGTCCTGGGCCCTGCCCTTGGGGTGCTGTCCAGGATGGCATATGGAACTCCAAGAATGGGTGGGGCTTCTTGGGGCAGGGGGATCCCAGGGTAGGATGCATACAGTCTCTTCTGGTGTAGTGGTGAACACTCCCCATGGCTCAGAGTTGTCTTCTGGCTCTTACTGAGGTGATCTGGGTGGGCAGGTGGCTCCATTTTATAGATGAGGAATCTGAGGCTCCTCTGACAAGAGATGAGGTCACAGAGCTAGTTGTGGGCAGAATTGGAACTAGAACCTCTAGCTCCTGACTCCTGGTGCTTATTGTGATTTGTCACACCACTCCCGTCCATCTTTCCCTTGGGGTGATGAGTGAGAGAGTTTATAAATCAGTTCAGACTCGCAGTTGGGTGGCACAGCCCCTGAGGGAACTGAGGTGATGATAATCCCTTACCTTTTTACAGCATTTTATAGTTTACAAAATAATTTCATGATTTGCATTAAATAGTATTAACCCATCTCACAGATGAGGAAACTGAGTCTCTGGCAGTTTACATGACTTACCCAGGCAATTGGGACTTGAATCCAGAACTTCTGACTCAAAGATGAGGGCTTTCCTGTCTTATGGTTGCTTCTTTTCTCAGTAGACCTGGATTTCATGAGTACAAATTGCCGAAGCTGGCCATGGTGTTGTTTCTCTGAATTTGTTCAGAGCAGATCTGAAGAAGTGAGGAGGGCTCTTTTTCTATCTCCTTAACAAATTTGAATTGGTATACATCAAATAAGAACCGTATAGGGGCACCTGGGTGGCTCAGTCCATTAAGCGTCTGACTTCAGCTCAGGTCATGATCTCATGGTTCATGAGCTGGAGCCCTGCGTCAGACTCTGTGCCAACAGCTCAGAGCCTGGAGCCTGCTTCTCCCTCTTGCCCCTCCCTCACTTGTGCTCTATCTCTCTCTCAAAAATAAATAAATATTTAAAAAAAAAAAAAAGAACCGTATATTGTCAGTCATTGATGAGAAAAGACTTGCTTGAGCAGGACAATTCTTAAGGAACCAGTGCTGTGGGTTATTGTTAAATTATTAGCTCCTTGCAAGCTGATTACTTTTAGGCCCAGACTCTGAGGCTTCCACCAGTGTTCATGGCTGTCCTGACCTCCCGTTTCCTCCCGTTTCAGGGCTGTATGCTCCAGGCCTCAATGAAGAGCCCAAACATGGAGACATTCAAGCAGCAGAAGGTGGAGGACTTTTATGACATCGGAGAGGAGCTGGGGAGGTAAGAGGCTGGGAGAGGTGGAGGGGGTGCCTCTCCTGGTACACTTGTCACTTGATCTTGTAGGCACGGGCTTGTCACAGGACTCGTGGGAAACTTTAAAAACAATCCTGAGGCATTCACCTTCGTGTGCAGCTCTGCAAACAGTCATCTCTGTGGAAATAAAGACTTGCTGGCATAAGGGACTAGAATTCTTGAGCTCTAGGTTTTCAGTATAGCCTGGCTGACAGTTATGGTGAGTCTAAATGCTTCTCGTTTCCTCTGTTACTTTTCTCACAAAGCCACTCCCAGGTTCTGGACTGAGATCTGGTCTGTTGGTTTTCTTCTCTGAGTCCCACTTAGGATTCTCCATGGCTCTCAGGATTTTGTTTCATAAGCTCAGTGCCTGAATGGGAGGTGAAGTAATCCTCCTGAAAATGGATTCACGTTGAGTAACAGGGTACGCGAGCCTCGTCACGAAGGTTCCTAGGATCTGAGTTATTGGGTGCATTTTTAGGTTTGCTAAATCTAGAATGCAGCCAGGGATAAGTCCTGATATCTGAAAGTAGTTAGTCTTCAGAAAGGAATGAAGATTTCCCAAGCTCTCTTCTTGCCTTCCATTTCCAGAATCTGCTAATATTTAAACAGTTTTTTAGTGATTACAGATCACCAGCCCTACGGTTGGATTCTCACTGCAATGCAAGAGATGGGAATTCATTTCATTCTCATTTTGCAAGTGAGGAAACTGGCCCAAAGAGTTTAAGCAAATTGCCTGAAATTGGTCAGCCAGCGAGTGACGTGGCCAAGGTCTGGCCAGTCCAGTTTGCACCCGCACACCTGTCATGCCCTTTCCAATGAGCATGGCACTTACACACTCACATATGCTTACTGGTACACCAAGCCTCACCCCTTCACACACCCAGCAGAGTAAAAACTTGGGGGCTTAGGGCCTTTGCTGTATCCACGATGCAACACAGGAGGCCTTTCCCCTTTATAGAGCTCTTGGGTCAGGCCTAATTCTCTTACTTTCTTTTATGTTTAAAGACAAAATTGAAAGAGTTTCAAAGCCAGAGGAGCCTTACTCCAAGAGGAAGGTGCAGTTACTTCAAGTCCAGGGAGTGCTTGTCCTGACTGACTAGCTGGCTGGGTGGGGGAGCAAAGACTGCAGAGACCCTGGAGGGGAATGGGTCCTCAGCCTTCTGCCTGAGCCGGCTGCCACTGGCAATCCAGGGGTGAAGGGGTGGGAAGAAGACAGAGGGCCGGAGGCTGGAGGGTGGTCAGTTGGAGTCTGCCTCTGAATGGGAAGCCAGGTGCTTCTCCTGCCCTTGGTGATACAAGGGAGAAAGTGGCAAGCTCAGCAGCAGACTCTGGCAGGCCTTGCCCGTGGCATTTGATTTGGTAGCCTCACCTTGGCCACATCCTATGGGGGTCTGTGCCAAGTGCTCTGGGTACAGATATGAGCAAGACATGGACAGTTTCAGTCCTGGACGTTCAGCCTGGCCATAGGGGCAACCGTGCACATCCCAAGGCCAGAGTTGGATGGGACCTTGTTGGGGCGGGGGCTCTGAGGAAGAAAGTAGAAGCAGTTTCCTGGGGGAATTCATCTATTCTTCCTTCTTAGTCCCGTCTCTCCCCAGTTTGTACATCAGGGCTATTAGAACTGGAGGAGGCCTGGGGCACCTGGGTGGCTCAGTCGGTTAGGCGTCCGACTTTGGCTCAGGTCATGAACTCACAGTTCATGGGTTCGAGCCCCACATTGGGCTCTGTGCTGACAGCTCGGAGCCTGGAGTCTGCTTCAGATTCTGTGTCTCCCTCTCTCTCTGCCCCTCCCCTACTCACGCTCTGTCTCTCTCTCTCAAAAATAAATAAACATTAAAAAAATTTTTATTAAGAACTGGAAGAGGCCTCTTCTCTGGTCCTTCACGTATAGCAGGGTGGAGGGCCTGTACCTCACAGCCTGGGAACCTTGGATGACTCCCCCTCATTTCAAAAAGGTTGACTGGACACAGGGTAGGTAAGAGGCTGAAGAGGCCTGAGGCCTTTGGAATGGCTTGAAATCCTAGGATTTGTGGTCTAGAGGCCAGATGAGCTAGAAGGCTTATAGAGATCCTTTCTTCCAGGCTCTTCATCTGAAAACTGAGGAAACTGAGACTCAGAGAGGGGAAGATCTTGCCAGGGGCCATAAACAGGCTGGAACTAGACCTGCCAGCAGATGAGTGCTGAGATTCAGAAGGGGCAGTCCTCTTTTTCTCTCCTCCCCTCCTTTTCTTCACTTATCATGCTTCTGAGGAGGTTCCTTGTGCCAGGCACTGTCCAAGGTAGTGGCAAACCAGCAGATGCATTCCTGTCCTTTTGCAGCTTATGATCCACTGGTGGACAAAGGCTCTAAACCAGTGAACAGGGGAACCAAGAGCATAATTCATTATGGCATGTGTTAAGGGCTGTGCAAGGAGAGAACAGGATGCACTGAGACAGAATAGGGGACACAGTTGAGACCAAGTGGTCAGGGAATGCTGCTCTGAGGAAGTGACTGTCCATTTGAGAACTGAGGGCTAAAGGTGCAGGAGAAAGCAACAACATGGACACAGGCCCAGAGCTGCTGAAACTTGAGCTGTAGGTGAGCAGTGCTAGATGAGGTTAGAGACATAGGTGTTAGACACGTGGCCAGTGAGCTTTGTGTCAACACAGAGTGGTGGAAAGGTTTGGCACATATTGAGATTTGGGTCCCCTTCCTAGCTGTGCAACCTTAGGACAGCTTACTCAACCTCTCTGGGGCCTCTGTTTTCTTACCCATAAGATAGAAATAATAACAGTACCTAGTCCATGGTCGTGAAATGTGAAGTGTCAAGTGAAATGCCAAGTCTATGGTACCCTCATGGAACCAGGCACAGGGTAAGTGCTCGATGAACAAGAGCTTCTGGCCTTTGAAGCATATTTGGGACACCAAGGCCCTGCCTCCCACCTCTGGAGCGCCCCCAAGAGGGAGGTGTGGGACTCTGCAGGAAGAACAGAGTTGTTGGGTCATGCTTATTTTGGGGAGAGGTGCGTGTAAACCTGCTTCCTCTGCTGTCAGTGAGCACCCTAGGCTAAACTCAAGGATGTCTTACTGATTTAGCTCCTCATTCAGTACTTCCTGTGCAAAAATGAAAGCAAGCAACACCATTTTTCATTTTTACCCGTACTGATAGATAGGTCTCACACACCTAATGTTGGGTAAAGAAAGCCAGGTGCAAATGAGTCCGTACTGTATAATTCCATTTGGGTAAAGCTCAAAATGGGCAAAATGAATCAATGGTGCTGGAAGTCAGAATAGTGGTTATTCCGAAAGAACTAGTGACTGGAAGGCGGCATGAGGGAGGTCCCATGGGGTGGGTATTGTTCTGTTTCTTGATCTGGGCACTTACTTCACAGATACATCCTTTATGAAAAGCCATACCTCTTTATGTGCATTTTTTTTTTCTGTAGGCCTGTTATATCTTAACTAAAACCGTGTATTAACAAACAAGGAATCTTTCACACTGTTCCTTGGCCTAGTCTGGTCCCTAAAGCTCATGTTTTTGATTCATTTGGATGTCTTTATGTCCTCATCCTACAAGTAAGAGAGCATCTGGGAGTAGAGCTGCTAAATCCACCTTTGGATTGGGACAGTGTGCCCTGGCTGGAGGGTCCTCAGCTGCTTGACCATGTGATTCTTAACTGATTTCATGCTGAGTGCAGATACTTAGCTGTGCCATTTTGGTACCAGCCTGCTGGGGATGCTGGAGATTGTCTGCTGCTTCTGAGAGTGGCTGGAGAAATGCTGCAACCTACAGATTCTGGCTTCTCCCAGCCTTGGTAGCCAGGGTAGGGTAGAGCAGGGGAATATTAGAGCAGGACTTATAAAGAAAAAACCCATCCAATTCCTCCTTTTTAGACAAGGCTAGGTCCAGAGAGGGGAAGTGACTTGTCCGAGGTCACTCGGGGAACTAGTCATGGACCAGGATGGGGACCGGTGGTCTGACTACTCTTAGTCTGGGGCTCTGGCCACCACACCATAAGGACCCACAATGTACAAACTCATTTTTGCTCTCATTTGAATGCTTCTCAGGGAGTGGAGGAGAATATATAGTAGGGTGGTCTTTTCTGTTTGACCTTGAGAGTAGAGCAACAGTGTCAGAGTCAGGAGGTTGAGCAATGGGGAAGGAGTGATGTTCCCCAGGGGGAGGGCACTGATAGATACTCCCTCCCCCTGGGGAGTATGCCCAAGAGTACAAGGTATTTTAGTGAAAGCAGCATGTAATGATCAGTGCTTTCTTCTTTCTTGTGCTTATATTACTTTCCTTTACTTAGATTATTACATTGACATAAAATCGTAAAATGTTATGCTGAACTGGATTTCAACAAGAAGTTAGTCCAAATCTCCATTTTATAGATAAGGAAAGTGAGGCCGAGCTCACCGAGGAGGTGAGCTGATTTGTCCAAGGTCCTAGAGTAAGCAATATGGAAGGTGGAACTTAAAGAAGCTTTTATATTATTTTATTTTAAAAAATATTTTAAATTTATTTATTTATGTATTTAACACAAGGCAGGAGGGACGAAGGGAGAGAGAATCTCAAGCAGCCTCCATGCCCCTGTCGAGGGGCTTAATCTCACCACTATGAGATCATGACCTTAGCCAAAATCAAGAGTCAGATGCCTAACCAACTGAGCCACCTAGGCACCCCAGAAGCTTTTAAACTGCACTGTGCTAATTTAAACAAACATACAGGGGTGCCTGGGTGGCTCAGTTGGTTCAGTGTCCGACTTTGGCTCAGGTCATGATCTCATAGTTTGTGAGCTCAAGCCCCATGTCGGGCTCTGCACTAAGAGCATGGAGCCTGGAGCCTGCTTTGAATTCTTTGTCTCACTCGTTCTCTGTCCCTGCTTGTGCTCTCTCTCCAAACAAACAAACAAACAAACAAATGTTTATTGATATATACATTCAGTTTTCATCCATAGCCCCAGCTCTGTCAAGGAGCCTACCTCACCATTACCCCACACATGCC